AGTCATAGAATAGTATGTCATAAAAAAGTCATAATATAGTATGTCATAAAAAAGTCATAGTATAGTATGTCATAAAAGTCATAGTATAGTATGTCATAAAAAAGTCATAGTATAGTATGTCATAAAAGTCATAGTATAGTATGCCATAAAAAGTCATAGTATAGTATGCCATAAAAAAGTTATAGTATAGTATGTCATAAAAAGTGATAGATGAGCATGCTATAAAAAGTCATACTATTGCATGTCATAAAAAAGTCATAGTATAGTATGCCATAAAAAAGTCATAGTATAGTATGCCATAAAAAGTGATAGATGAGTATGCTATAAAAAGTCATACTATTGCATGTCATAAAAAAGTCATAGTATAGTGTGTCATAAGAAGTCATAGAATGTCATCAAAAAACATGAAAAGAAGTCATTGAATAGTAGTCAGTGGTATTGTCATCAAAAATTTAAAAAAAAAAAAAAAAAAAAAGAAAGAAAAAGAAGTCATAGCACAGTATGTCGACAACAACCATGAAAAAACCTCATAGTGTAGTATGTCGTCAAAAAGCATGTAAAAACATCATGGTATAGTATGTCATCAAAAATCGCACAAAAAAAGCCATAGTATAGTATGTCATCAAGAATCTGGTAATTTTCCTGGAATTGAATTAAACCATTATCATTACTTAATACATAACAAAAATTATATTAAAAAAAGGAATATTAGCAAATGTGGCTGACAAAAAGCTAATACAAATAAATACAGTACATGGGCTTTAGCATTTAAATCCCTTTATTTCAATCCATATTCATTTCATGTTTAATTAGTTAATTAGTCAGATTAAGGGTGTTTTGAAAACCAAGAATGCATTAAGAACAGTATCACTGGGTGGTCCTGTAAGATAAATGAAAGAACAATCATAATAACTTCACCACTGCCTAAAGGTGCCTACAGAGACTGAACCCTGAAGAAAGCAACAGACAGTCATCTTCACGTATTAACGAGTTTTTATTAAGCAGTAGCATCACATTAGTAACAGTCTGGAATGAAATGTTGAAAATCCCCCCTGAAGCAGAATAAAACACGTCATATTGCTCCTCCATCATATTTTTAAATGATGCAGTGAAGTTTTTTCAGCAGGTCTGAGGCTTTAAAAATGAATATTTCCTAATAAATCAGTAAAAACCTGATGTTCTGTAACAGCAGTTGTGTTCTGCTTCAGGGATGGACTCTGTCTTTACACTCTCTTGGTCCACATCAGCCTTCATTCATAAAAACAAAAATATTTCAACCTGGTTTCACCCAAAGACACAGCAAACTGAAATGAGACATTTGAAACACGTTGATAAAGTGTCTAAAGAAACAGATAAACGTAGCTCTGCAGCAGCTACATATTAAATCCCTTTATGAACACAAATGTGAAAAGAAACAAACAGATGGAAGCAAAACATCAAATAAAACTTCAGTCAAATGTTCAGCTCCACAGAGTGAAGGACGGGTTGTGAGGTTGAATCCTGACCTAGAAAATGTGGTGACATCTTGGAGTAAACTCTGCCAGAAGGCACTTTATACCAATGGTTCCCAACTGGTCCAGATTTTTCCTTAGTGATTAGTTCAAGGTCCACATGGTTTAATATATTCATTCATACTTGCATTTGGCCATGTCCTCGAGCTAGTTTGCTGTCTCTGTTAAGTAGCTGTTCATTATCCACTCAGCAGTTTTTCATGAAATCAAACCCAGTTTTTGATTCTATTTATGGGCTGCATTTTTTCAGCAATAGCCATTTAATGGATTTATAAAATCACAAAATCAAATCAACTTTATTTATGTATTGCGTTAAATTATAGACCAAATCCCCTTGACGTCACACAATAACAACAATCACTTCGGGGCAGAAAACTGGCAGTTGAGTTCAGACGCAAAGACGTGAAATTCGCAAAATTGTTGATTGCTGTTGTCAACATTTACAGAAGGGGTGGGAATCACCAGAGGAACCACGATACAATATTATCACAATACTTAAGTCATGATGCGGTATTATTGCAATATATGTTGCGATATGCTGAGTATTGTGATAAAATATATTGCGATTATCTTTTTTTAACTGTAAATTATGTCCCTGAAGGAAAAGTTTGTCAGCGTCTGTTTTCGCTAATAAGATAAAGTTTTCACTGCTCGTCTACAGATATAACCAAGCTAAATATAAGACTTTTTAAGGCCTTTTTAAATACCACTTTATATGAATTTAAATACCAAACCTGCAACAGAAATACACATTAAATATACATATATTTATGTGTATGTGTGTGTGAGACACATATATAAGTACTATTTCACACACACAACACACTGATGTAAGTTCAAAATGAACACTACTGTAGACACCCTGTTTCAGTCTGTCCATCTCACTTAAGCCATTTTCTGCAGCAGTAAAAAGTATCTAGTGGACTGAAAAAGCAATTGATTTTATTATTCTAGTAGTTACCTACCTTAAGTTTAATTTGAATTTTAATATCATTAATCCATATAATAAAAAAAAAGATACTTGGCAATGTGTGACCATATGATATTGCCTCACAAAAATATTATGAAATATTCTGTGTTGTCCTGTTATCATCTTTGATAAACCAAATCTACCTGCATGAAAGCTTAACAATGCACTGCTGTGGACAGAAATGTATTTCAGACACCTAAAAAAACCAGTCAATATTAGCGTAAGGGTACGCTGCATTTGAGTATTTGCTCTGCCTCACCTTACACACTAACAGATCAGTTTTGGGTAGACCAGCAACTTTGTGTTCTGCCAAGTAAAATGACTGTTTTTGTCAATGGAGTCTGGTGGCTTTGAGATCACAGCTTCAGTTCCCCCCAGAAACTCAGTCTATTACACCGTCCTACTGTTTGTGTCCAAGCTAAAAGCAATCTTTAAGAATGGCAGACTCCACCACAAGCAATGAAAACTGCAATAAAGAGAGATAATCATTCATTAAATTATATTAAAAAAATAAATAAATAAAAAATAGTAATAATAATAATAATGCATTAAATTGCTGTGGCTGAAAAAAGCAGGGTTTGATTTCATTTAACTATTAGAGGATTATAACTTTTGATCATACTGTACTTCTGGATTTCTGGGATGTTTCCAGAGCTTTCAACACAGTGTACTTCAGTTTTTTCTTTGTACTGTTGTTAACAACAACATGAACAGATATATCTGACATAATTTTAAGTCACAGTGAAACAGTTAGAGCATCTTTTCTTGGAATAACAAGAGGATTTAAATTAAACGTGTGCTGCTCATTAAATACAGACGGAAGGGACTTTAACTGATGGAAACTATTCATATTCTTAAATAACATTTTAGGGGCGTAGATTCATGTAACCACACCAACATGATGGAGGCTGAACAGGTGACCAACTCCCTTTGTGACATCATCACAGCACTGTAAACAGGTAAGGGCTTGTTTAAACTCCCTTTACATACAAAAATACATACGTTCATTTCAAACGTTGAGACCGTTACTGCTCTCATACCCCCATGCCACATCCACTAGCTGGCACTGGAGGGTCAAAAGTTTCTGACAACAACAAACATGGCGATGGTGGAGGAGGTCCTGATAATGTAACTTTTAACCGAGGCAGTGTCGTAGATGGCTGTGGTTTATGAGGCCATTAAATACATTGGGAAGTATGGACGAAGAACTATTTTTACAGTATTAATGATTCAGTCCTTTACGCCATTTTTAAAATGTCTTCGTTGAGTCCAATGGTCCTATCTTGTTGAAGTACGCTAAAATGCCCCCATGATCTCTAATGATACTGCTCAGTTTTGTCTATACCCGTAAGCTTTCAGAAAACGTGCACAAATACAGAGAATGTAGAGTATAGAGAGAGTGGTCCGTCCGTGTCCGTATCTAACACTGAGCATAAATCAGCTTTATGGTGTCTCTGGCGCTCTGACAGTAACTGGATTCAAATAAGGCTTCTTCATTTTCTTGCAAACAGCAAGACAAAGTCAGGAAGTGTTAGCCTAGCTTAGCATAAAGACTGGAAGTGACAAACTATATTTTTGGTTATGAACAGAAATGTAACAAGACTCAGGGCTTGTTCAGACTGCCAGCAACAGTTGTTGTTTTTTTGTCATTTCAAGATTGAGTTAAGAAAGTCTGGTAGTGCAGTGTTTCCCACAGAATTTGAGTTTGTGTGGCGGTAGCTGACAACTGGGTTGTAGTAGTATGGTATTATGACATGCAATATTGAAAAACTTTTTTTCCCTTTAAAATGTGTGTGTTCCTTCTCTAAATTCAGATGTTTTTATGGGTCCGTGCAGACGGAGCTCTTTTTCCCCCTTAGCAGTACTTTGTGAATCGCGGTGTGGATAATTGATCTGTTTATCAATTCAGAGCTGATCAGATCAGATCGAGAGGAGCGGCTGCTGCAGAGGCAAGTTAGAACCAGTTAAGACCCAGTAGAATAAACGTTAAAGTTTCACTTTCAATGCACCTGACGTTCTGCTGCTCCATCTGTGTAAAAGTACACTCTGCGCTCAGACAGTGTAGTGCTATAAATAACTCAACAGTATATATATCAACAGCACTCCTAACTAACAGTCCAGCTCCAAAAACAGACAATCTATTTGTGGGAGCAGATGTTTTGATCATTGCGGGCTGCCACAAATAAACAAATGTGTAAAGAAACCCATACGAGGTTTGAAATGTAATTCAAATAAAATTTCTACAGCTGTGTCTCAGTCCAGATGTATTTTGCGTCATTCTTAACTAGGGCCGCCCCCTAAAAGATTGGATTAATTAGTCAGAGTCACTCAGTGTGCTGTTTACTTTTGGGAATGTTTCAGTCCCCAGATTTAGCTGCAGAGTGAGCGTTCCTTGCTTTCAGTGGACCTAGACTAGGCTGAGTCTGAGTCAGACGGAGGGAGCTGCCTGGAGGAAGAGAGACTTTGACCGATCAGACTCTGAGATAACTTTTTCTTTTTCTTTCTGATCAGAAGTGGTGAATTTACAGCTCACAGCAACCTAACACAACACAGTCTCTGGTCTATATTTGAGGTATACCATGGTATAGAATTTGACGGTTATCATACTGTATGCATTTGCTTATCTACAGTATTAAAAAAATGCAACTGGATGTAGAATCTCCCCATGCTTCCATTTTAAAAAATTGTTGCAAGTTTTAATTATAGAAATAAAAAGTCTTATAACTAAAAAAGCCCTACTATTCTCATTACTTTAAAGGTCATTGTAACTGACAGAACTAATGGTTCTGTAAAACTGGGATATTTTCTGAGATGGTTCCTGCACCGCTGCCACCCTACTGGTGTCACATTTCGATTCACATAAACGGAGTTAGTGCACATTAGCCTGGAGAGCTAACTTAACCTGTTTACGTCACCGTCACCCTGAACGTCCTGCTGAACATTTCAGACTCTCAAACTCTATCATCTGGAACAGCCATAAACAGCTCAAATCCTAGGCATTTGTTCAGTGTTCAGTCTAAGTAGTCTTTGCTTCCAGTTGGCTGGCCTCCGTCTTTACAGAACTGACTGAACTGACAATGGCGCTAGATGAAAAGTCAACAATGGACTAAGCAACAATCTAGAAAACAACCAGTCAGCTGGTTTTGACTCTTTGTTTACATATTTTGTAAGTTTTCTCTGCCATGTAAAAGAACTTTTTCTATAGACCCTTTTACACTGCATCTTCAAGGCGTGACTTTCATGCTGTAATTCCTCCTCTCTGTGCTGTGTAAAGGGTACAATTGTGGAATGGGGGGACAGAGTGGTCTCGCCTTTAAGCTGGCATCAGAGGTAGTAACAGCACCGAAACAATGTCTGTATAAAGACAACAGCCAGCAGGACGGGATCGTGGGTGGCCTGGGTGGGGTGTTTTGATGATGTGTTATGCGTGCGGCCCACCACGGGGAATTTAAAAAGCAGCTGATAGCAGTTAGCAGCTAACTCTAAGAAGAACAGCGGCCGGAAATGCCCGAAAATTGGGAAAAAAGGAGGTCCAGCAGCTCCTCACCCTCCGAGCAAAGGATGAGATCAGCTGCCATATAACAGGGAAGGTAAATTATGTCCTTGCCATGTTACGCCACTCTTATTGTTTACAAAGCACTGCCGACACGTATGTTATATGAGCTACAACTAGAGACCAATGCTGTTGTGGTACTTGTCATGCCCGTCATGCCGGTAAGCTGTCTAAAATCACATACTGGAGTGGCATGATGCCACTGTTGTTTGGTTCTGTGTCAAAAAACGAAGGTGCTGTGATAAAGGGACTTCGTAGCGGCTCTATAGCACGATCTCTAAAAAGAGCTTATAATAAAACCTAAATGAGCTGCCGGTACAAGAACAGGATAAATGGTGCACTGAAACTACCAACAACATTGAACACACTGCATTTTGTTTTCCACAGATACTTGAGTTGTTCCTCAGTCTTCCATTTCCTCTACTGGGGATAACTGGGGATAGCTACCAATAGCTACTAGGGGAAAACATAAGCAATATCCTCTTCCTGTTTTGGTTGCTGAGTGTTTGATGCACTTTCTTTGTGTCATAAATGGAGCCTTCATGTTCCAGGGAGATGGTACTCTGTGGCAAACAGAGCTGCATGATAAAACGAGGCTTACAGTGAACCAACCTAAATGCCGATGATCTCATTATCCTACAGCATTGTGCACACAATATTTACGTCATAATAAGTTAAAGAAAAACACTTGTCTGCTTCTACGTGAGTATGTGAGTATTAAGTCAATGTGACTATTTGACCAAACGATCTACACAGAAAATAATTTGCAGATTAACTGATGATGAAATTAAGTTTCTCCTCCGTCATTGTGAATACTAGTAACACTTTTTCCAACTGCAGTAACCGTACATAAAGTATACTTTCAATGTTACTGTAAAGAGTATACTCCACTATATTATCATATCTGCTATGTTTTAGAACATTTTATAGACATTGTTTACATGAAGCAGTCAGTCAACTCTTTTACAGGTTAAAATTAACGCTTCTCCATCCAAACTGTTACCGTGGTAACCCAGTGGTCATGGAGTGGAGAGGGTCTGCAGTCCGAGAGGCTCCCATTCTCAGTTTCTGTCATTCTGTCCTCTTCTCAACACTGTGTTGGCTATTCACCATTTCTCCTCCTCCTGCACCTCCCTCCACCCCCTCCTCCTCTTCCTCCTCCTCTTCCTCGCCTCCGCGGCTGAACTGCCGTCTGCTGAGCCTCTCTGGGTCATGTGACGCCATGTCGCTGAAGTCACGGAAGATGTCCTGAAACGTCTGGTCGTCTCCTGAGGAAAGATTTACGGTCAGTGTGCTTCTGTGTACAGACTGTACATACAGTGTATATTAGAGCGTGTGTTTTTTCATGTTGACTGTCTACTCACCCACAGCTCCAAAGACTCCTTCTGAATCTCTCATCTCTTCGTTCATCCTGGCCATCCGCAGTCTGAAACATTTAAATCAACATGTAAGTCGTAGGCTAGTGTTTGGTAGCCTACCTGTACTAAAAGTTAACTCATCAGTGAAGAAGCTCACGACACAAGTGGACAGTAGGGTTCTTGTTCTGGACCGTGTATAACGTATACAAGGTACAGGACCCAAAATGCAACAAAGGCGTGGCCATGTAGCATGGCTAGCTGTTTCCTCCTGCTTCCAGTCTTTATGCTAAGCTAGGCTAACTACATCCTGACTCAATATGAACTGAAGCTTCCACAACCATATTAAACACTCTTTGCATATTAATATAAAGCAATCACTCACAGTGTGACGATGTCAGCATGGGCTGTTTCTACGGCGATGGCCAATGGGTCCTGTCCCCTCTCGTCTACAGCATACTGATTGGCTCCTCTCTTCAGCAGCAAACACACCTGTCTACACACAGCCAAGGAAAATCAGAGGAGTTTATTCCAGTTCATTTAAACAGGGTCAGTGTGTGGCTGTGTGTGTTTGTGATTACCCTGTGTGTCCAGCGGTGGCAGCAGCATGCAGTGCTCCCTGTCCTCTCTGGTCTCGGTGGTTGACGTTTGCTCCGTTCAGCAGCAGGAACTCACAAGCTAACAGTGACCCCTGCAGACAGCACAGAAATAGAAATACAACCAACAGGCACAGGTGAAGACTTGAAGTGCTCTTTTACTCCCCGGAAGAAAATGTTGTTTCTGCAAAGCACAAATATGTCACATTTATACATTTCATATGTATCATATCAACATTTCTAAAGTGACATAGTATATCAGCTGACTTTGTCATTGGGAGGAGGAGGGGAATGTGGATGGTGTGTCACCTAGGTAAGACGACTGCCAAGCTGCAGACCACTGTTCAAGATCAACAGCTAATACAACTGGTTGATCTTTTAGCAACCTTTCGTCGTTTTTCCAGCAGCTTTTTAGGGACCAAACGTGGGTGTTTGGTGGCAAACGTTTCTAGTGGGGATAGTGGCACGAAAAGCAGCTGTTTGTTTTTTACTGAGACACAGCTGCTCTTCTAGCGGCAGTTGTAGCAACAAACCTGGTATAAGGCCAAAACATGATCTTTATAACCACACATTAACCACAGAGTGGTTGAAACTTGATGAAATGTAAAGTATCAACATATCTGCTACATAATAATGTCCAAAGGTAATGTATCCTTGATTTGCAGAAACAGTGCTAGCATTTCTTCTGGCAATTGGGTTGCTTTACCTGAGGCTTCACATCAGCTGGACTTTTAGGAACATTGCAAGTGTTATTCTCCTACCTCTTAAGCTAAATGAAGAGGATCCAAGAGGATCAGCTAGAAAAGTAATCGCTATGCTAAAAATGGGGCTGTTTTTCTGACTTTTTAGAGATGATCTTATAGAATATGATGCACTGCTGTAGATTAAACTACTCAACAGTATATAAGGGAGTAAAAATGAGCATAACCTTAAAAAATTTAATACATTTTGCTGATTCATTCAGACCTCTTTCGACAGCGCTGTAAAATTTATTCTCAAGCTAACATGCTTATAAAGAAGTTTTCTATGTGCTCTGACTCTGTGAAGTGTTCCCTGTTCAGAACCTACATCACACCGTTATACACTGCTCAATTGTGGTCTAACTATAAGAAAAAGAGTATGCAGAGGCTTAGGTAGCATAGAATGATGCAATGAGGTTGCTGCTTTGTGTCCCTAGGTGGCATAGTGCCAGTCAGTTGTTCGTGTCCGCTAGAGTGGCAACCTGTGAGGCACTCTTAAGACAGCTGATGTTTAGTTTTATGTGCCGCTTGGACAAGTCAGGGAACCACATAATTGAAGCCATAGTCAGCCCCCTGAAAAGCTGCTATAGATTCACTTCTAGGCTGAGACGGCATTGGTGCAATAGCTTGTATATTTTATAATATACACAATTTTTTGTATTTCCTTTTTTATACTATTTATACTGTATGTTGTGTTATATGGACCTGTGTCTGCAATAAAGCTTTATTATTATTATTATTATTATTATTATTATTATTATTATTATCAT